CGAAATAACCATACAGAAACTGCATTCATTAAATCACTGCTTGGCCCATTAGCTCTAGCTTCTTATGGCTAACTCTTATATTAATTTAACCCATTTCTATTAATTTGTGTATGGCCATGTTGCAGTGGCTTATGGGCAAAGATTCTAACTGGCTTCTGTATCAGGCAGAGGATCCATGTCAGAGATAAGCCAATTTGTAACAGGAAGGCCGCTTGTTTGTCCTGGGTGTCCAGAACCAAAATAATCACATAGAAACTATATTTATTAAATCACTGCTTGGCCCATTAGCTCTAACTTCTTATTGGTTCTTACATATTAGTTTAACCCATTTCTATTAATCTGTATATCACCATGAGGTTGTGGCCTACCAGCAAAGTCTCAGCACGTCTATCTCTGGTGGTGGGTAAATGGCATCTCGCTGACTCAGCCCTTCTTCCTCCCAACATTCAGTTCTGTCTTCCCTGCCTACTTAAGTTCTGCCCTATCAACAGGCCAAGGCAATTTCTTTACTCATAAATGAAAGCAACACATGGACATAAGGACCTCCTACACCATGGATCATCAAGGGCTCAAGAACAGCCTAGGATAGATACGGATTCAAAGGCCAGCCCCAGGTATAGACTGAGATCCTGTCTATCAAACCAAACAAAACTCCAGACTCCCCTGCCAATGCTGAATACTAAATTCTGACCCTTGTACAACAGGTTGAAATGTTTGAGGACTTTCCTCCTAAAACTCTTAAACACTGGGCTGCACGGTAGAGCACCAATTACTGGTCTCTATTCTTCCAAGCTTCAGGAACACTGCCGAGGACCAGAACAGTGCTCAGGAAGGATGCATGGAACAGATGACAACACACGCAGAACAAGCTAATACTTGAGCTTTAACAAATGGTCTGTAACACCCTTTTGAACCTCTATCTCATGTGGAAACAACAACAACTAACTATTGTTCAGTGAGTCCACAAAGGCAAGGTATTTGCTATTGGTGACCTGACACAAGGACAGCTGAGAAAGTCATGAATCTCCAGTTACACGAGCCAGCAGCACCCTAATGTTCTTTCAGCAGAATCTCTGTTGTGCAATGAGCTAACAAGAGTCTTCTTTCATCTATGTCCTTAACTAAATTTATATCAATTAAAAAATTAAGTATAAGCAGTATAAAACATTTTCTTCAATACACAAATTTTAAAAGAAAACATCACCTCAACTAAAACCTTCTGTTTTAATATTATAAATTGATAATAACTTATAATATGTAATATATAATAATTTATGGTTTTATTCTTTCCTTGATTTAATAATTCAGTACCAAAAGATGACTTCTCAAGCTCTGAGAGACTGACTGACCTTACCAGATGGAAGAATGTCTACATTTATATAAAAAACACAACTGGAGCAATTTTATTACTTCATTCTAATATATTTTCTTTAGAATTCATAAAACATTATTTTATTGTTCTTAAGGTGTTTCTGCATACCTACAAGTAACATTCAGACCAAGCAGGTTACTTTTAGGAATACATACATACACACACATACACACAGGCATGCAGTAAAAGAGTAGGACATGATTTTGAAGGACAGTAGGGAGGCTTATGGAATGGTTCGGAGGGAGAAAGGAGAGGTCAAGATATTGTTTATACTAGAATCACAAAATTAAAAAAGAAAAAGATATTTATCCAGCAAAATATGTCAAATATGGTAATTAGCCTAATCTTTTCCTTCATTTACCCATCTCACAGGAGTATGGAGAAGTATTGGGTTTTATATGTTTACAAAAACGACCCAAACTATAATTACATGCCATTTTTTACATATAAGAAACTCAATGGGTTGCTTCCAAGAAACTACACTAGTTCTCTAAGCCTTAATTTTAGTTCCTCTTACATCCACACTACAAACCCTTCCATTGACAGCTTTAGGCAGACTAGTGAACATTAAGGCAACCACAGCATTCTCCTAGCTTCTGTTTTCACAGTACTAAGCTTAACTGGGCATACTGTAGCTGCCCAGCTCAAGACTCATACACTCTGAGACTTTTTGCAACCATATATTTTAAAAGACTCATCAGCCCTGAAACGCAAATGCTATCATTCAAGTTCTAATTACATGCTACCTAGGTTCTATAGATTAGAGGAAAAAAGAATACTATACTTCCAAGTATATTTTTGACCACATGCAACTTCCTAAATAAATGCTCAAATAGTTTTTGATATATGAATATACAATAGCTAACATATTGCTCTAGTGAGGTCATGTTCTAGCTTCTCTTCATGCTGCTTCTGCTTGATAAATGGGTCAATAAGCACCAAGTCAAATATTCAAGTAAATATATTTTCATTGTTATTGGCAGACATATAATTAACTCTGATTAAAAAAAACAGAGAATCAATTTATAATTACTACTTTAGCTCTTCCCATTATTCATTTACAATATAATCTTAATTCCACTTTAAAATCTTCATACATACACACCATCTTGACTCTAATTATAAATCAAATTACCTCAACTACAAGTTAATGTTGTATGAACTGTGACCCTCATATGCTAGTTTTATTAGTAAGATACAATTAGATTATTACCCATGTATATGAGCTGATTAAAAAGCAATGAACATTTATGAGCCTATATTAATTAGTAATTTCAATTAATGCTTTTAAACAATAGTAGAGATTTGCTGTATTTTCTCTGGCACAAACAATTAAATCAACATTTTCTTTAGTGTGTGTAGATGTCAACACCACATTTCTATTATCAGGTAAAACAGATAGCTAACAAAGAAAGTATTACAAAGAATAATAAATTATCTCACAAAAGAAAAAGCATTGAAAATAAAATTTTTACTATCTTCTGTCAGGACAATATCTTCACCAATCCCAGAAAAATGCACTTTATACAAAAACTTATAGAGGTGACCTTTAAAGAATATTGCCCCAGATGCAAAGCTTCAGACGCATTACTACATGTCATGAAAGAATGCTCAGGATGAGCTCACGAATCTGTTTTAATAGAGTTGTATTTTCCTTAATCAATTGTGTCTTTTATTGTGGTAGTTATTTTGGCTTTATATGTTACAGACAAGTCATTTCAACACTCAGCTTCTTCACCTGCAAAAGCGGAATGACGGCTCCTCCTCTCAGCATGACTACCAGAACTAAAGGAGTTAATGTGGCCTTTGGACAGTACTCAGGACATGAGCACTATTAGCTGCCAAGACAGGCAAGTGTCAAGGTGGTGATGTCTGTCTGTCTGTCTCTGTCTCTCTTTCTCTCTGTGACCCTTTTCTTCATTGCCTTCTATTTGCCAACTTTCAAATTATCTTAATTTTTCTTCAAGGAAAAGACAGCTACATCATGACACTGTCCAGGTTTTGCCCATCCCACCAGCTTTGGGCACTGTCACTGGGGGCTACTTTCTCTCTCATTATAGCAAAAGCAAAAGCTAAGGGCTCAATGAATAATAGCCCCAAATTATGTTTTCAAAGACAGTCTCTTCTAGTTGAAAGGAGAGGAAAGGACAGACTGATGGGTGGTGCAGTACTCAGAGTTAGGAGGAACGCATTCTGGCATTCTATGCACAGCAAGGTGACTATAGCTAATAACATACACTAAAAGATTCAAAGATAGGTAATATTTTCACCACAAAGACAAGATAAATGTTGGCACAGGCCCATTAACCTGGATTTGGGCATTATAAAATATATGTTAAGAACACATGGAACCCACAAACATGTACAAACTTTACTTGTCAAATTAAGATAGCTCTTTCCTTACTCTTACACTCTCAGTAATGAACACACTCACATACAATGTTTTCTAAGCAACAAACACAAGGAAAATAAAGGTGGATAAGAAAAATAAATTTAAGAATGTTCCTCTCAAAGACAGAAAACATGAGTCTGTGTTGATGCTTGGTAAAGGAATTTTACATAGCTATCCAGGGAGGGCTTTATGATGTATGAGCAAGATGGAGAAAGAAGAATGGACACTCACTGAGGGGATGAAGGCTCCAGAATTATATTATTCACAGAAAACTTAAAATTCTGCACAATTGTAAGCTAAATTAGAGTGATAATTTACAAATTTATATTTAATTTACATATACATTTATATTCAGTATGTAAGAAAATGAATATTTTATAGACAAAGTATAGTAACTAAGTAACCAGATTATGCACACTGCTTGTGTAGTTAATCTTTAGGTTTTGGAACACTATCTTGAATGTCTGTGTCCTCCTACCCATCTTCACTATCTGTCCCTATCTTTGTGATCAGGGTACAAAGAGCCCCCTAAAAGCACTTTTATTGCCCCTCTCTGTCAAATCCAGAAACGTTTTTCTCCCACTGTATGCACCAGCCCTCTGCTGGGGTATAGGGTCCTCCCTCAATGTTCCTGGGGCAGATCTGGCCCCTCCCTTTGCTACAAAAGGTTTCTCCTACTACATCTCTTCCCCGAAATTCTACCCATAGCTCAGAATCTTTCCTGAAGCTAGCAGACTCCCTTGGTTCTATTTTTTAAAACCCAGGACTTTACAAAGGCATCAGAAGGAGAAATGAGAGTGAGAAAAGGATACTTGTAGATGAGGCATGTGCAAAACTGTGGTAGTGAACTGAGAAGCAGAAAGCCAATACGCACTGAAATATACAAGCAATCCATTACATCCATAGAGCACACTTAAATTATTTAGCATTTAAAATTTATATGCTGCACTAACTACTTATTGAACAATTATTCTTTCAACGACATTGTGTTCTCTTATAAACATTAGCCATCGCACAAAATGGACAATGAATTCGTTATTTAAGGCTGGCTTCTTTGGGGCCACTTCCTATTAAAAACTAAAGATACCGCCGGATTCAGAACTTTAAATATTAGACAACGCAGAACTACAGTATTTAATTCTCGAGTTTGAAGGATAAGTAAACAGTGAAATTTTTCCCAAAGCCAAGATCAGATACATTCTCAAGCAAAAATTAGCATGTTCTAAGCATCCACACCTTGGATTCCAACTTGACTTTCTCTTCATTGAGATCCTCTGTCGCTTTCTTAATCCTCCCACGACATCTGGTAATTTCTGATCTCACTGCAACACACGCGAGCGCACAAAATCTTAACTCACATGCACCTTGAGTCTCAAGTCCCCATCTCAGAAGCAGTTGGCATGTGACTTTTCAACTGCCGTTCCCTCCAGATTGCAAACTCCCCTCCTAGACCTCCCCTCCCTCCTCTGCTCCTCACACCCAGCTCCAAAAGGCCCCACAGGCCAGGGCCCCTGACCTTCTCGCAGCGCCCTGCGGCTCTCCTCCGCCTGGTGCTCAGTGAAGATGATGTGCTCAAACAACGACTCCAGACTCATCTCGTTGGCGGCTCCTGTGGATCCTTCGTGCGCCTTTAAATATTTTATACCGGAGCCTGAGGATCCTGGAAAACACAAGCAAAAGGCTTCAAGGGCGGTGCCCAGCTGGGCTGCCGGCAGGGCTGCAGCCAGGGCCTTGGCCTTGCTCCTCCGGCCTCTCCTCTCTGCCATGCCCTCAGGGTGTCCAGCCTTGCCTGCTTCTGTGGTGGGCACAGCTGCCCCGGAGAAGCCAAGGGGGAGGACAGCAACCTCTGTAGGGCTAAGCTTCCCGCTCCTCTCCGGGAAGCTTCCCCTCGGGTGGGCCTCGTGCTGGCCTGGAGAGAACTGGACCCAGGAGAAGAAGGCCTTGTGCTGGTCTCGCGAGAACTGGACCCGGGAGGAGAAGCCTCGTGCTGGCCTCGTGTTGGCCTTGCGAGAACTAGACCCATTAGGAGACGACCTTGTGCTGGTCTCGTGAGAATTGGACCCAGGAGGAGAAGGCCTCGTGCTGGTCTCGCGAGACCTGGACGGGGGGGGGGGGGGCCGGGGAGAAGCCTCATGCTGGCCTCGTGAGAAGTGAACTACAGGAGACCGGCGAGGCCATCTTCAGCCTTTCTGCGCTCAGAGGCTTGGGCCTTTGGTAGATCTGGGAAGCCCAGTACCCAAGAAACAGACACCAGTGTTATAAAGTGCAAAGGACCCAGGGTTTTAAATAAAAACTTTTGCAATGTTTTACCCTCGGAGGCTAGCAAAGACTCCTACAAATGTACAATGTCTGACATTCCCCCTTAATCATCCTTTGTAATCAGGGCATCATCTTTTTTGTCTCCTCCAAAATTAATCGTTGCCTTTTGTAATCAAGCCTTGGTAATATTAACACTTCAATACCTGTACAATGTGTGTCAGAGACCAAAGTGGTTGCTAATTAAAGCTTAAATGTGAAAGACACCTTTGGGACTTTTGAGTGAGATTTTTTTTTTAATTAAAAAAAATTTCAGTTTTGGTAGGTCAAAATATTGACATTGTGATAAACTTTTGACTTTATTGTAAATGTAAAATTGACACTGGCTAGACTTTTTACAAGTAACTTCTAGTTTGAATTGCTTAAAATTAAGTAAAATGAGGTAAATGCAAATTTTGTCACATACAATAGGCTTAATTAATAGCCCACTAATACCATAATATAATCAGTTATAAATTTTAACCAATTCTGAATTTCTACCCTTAATTTTCATTAAGTTGTGTCTGCATGAAATTTAATGTTTAAACTAACAGAATATATATTGAAAACTGCAATGAAGTAGAAAAGAATTACTCAGCTATTCAGAACAAATAATGAAGAAAATTTACAAGTCTTTTGGGTAACCTTTCTTGCCAAGCATTTTTTTTAATTAACAACCTTGAAGTCTCAGGAATAAGGAGGAATAATCTTATTTCGTTACTTATGTAATACCCAATCACATAATTGTTATTATATAATTAGATTATATAATACTCAATATTATTTATCTTCAAAGTGCTCCATTTCTGAGCTCAGTCTATTTCAGATGACTTTTGTCATTCATTTTCTAGTATAGTTCAGGAGACAGACATAAAATATTTTAATAAAAAATGAATTTAATAAACGAGTTCAGTCACCAACTGATATCTTGATGTGTGTCGATTCTTTTAATCAAGACGCACATTCTGTTTTTGTTACTTAAACGACAGAGACCTAAGTGACTTGTCCATAGTCAGGTGTGATGCCTACAATAGAGACAATTCAGGATTCGGATCCTGTGCCTCACGAAGAGGCACACTTTGTACATGAAAGTAGACTGAAACCAAGAAATCAGGGATTGAGAGCCTTGAATTCAGTTTTGGATTCAGCTGTAATTTTCTTATTGCATCATAAGCATAGTTACACTCATACTCTGCCATTTAGTATGTTCTATCTGCACTGAAGGTTGGCAGAGTGACTTCTGGGAGGCCTTGGGAAGCCTGCCTGCCTCTCTCAGACTTGAGAACAAGAGAAGGCCCAGGCAGAGAAGCGCCATCCTCATGCTCCGCGGTCCTCCGGACACCCCAGAACATTCTAGTCTCTTAAATCTTAGTGGAATCTTCTCGGATGTATTACAGCTATAGATATTAGCTGGGTTTTAAATTTTAATTTTGTTTATTGAAACAGTCATAACTATGTAAGCCTGCAATTTAAATTTTACCATTTTCATAATAATGAATTGAAGCAACATTAAGATATTAAAATCTAACTTTATTCATACATTTTGTATAATGTTGAGACTATTTTCTCTTATAGCGATGCATGCTGATTGTACCCCATAATGTACAGAGCAAGGTTGGCATTATTTAAATTTATGTCAAATAAAAATGGTATACGACATGATAAAACTTTGTGGGCACACTATTTTCTGAAAATGTATCTTCTGAGTCTAAAAATGGAAAATGATTCATTCAACAACTGTTCAATGAGTTTCTGATTTTCATTCAACATTCATTCAACAAATATTATTGAACATCTCCTATGTGCTCTGTTAGAGAAACAACCACAAGATTTAATAAAAACGGAGCTACATGAAAAAACCACTTTTCTTCCCCTGGATAGTTCTAGCCTCACTGGAGAATTATTATATTTCTCAGCATTTTGGCATCAGGATAAACAACTGCTTTCAGATGCTTCGACAGATGTTCCTCAGAAGGAAAGTCAATTATTTGCATTATGACGCCCACATATGATTCCCAGACCTACTTTCCATCTGTGCACGTTTCGCCGAATTGCCTGCCTATGGAACGTGACTGAGGATCATTCCCTGTGTCACACCCTCAGCATTCACTTCTGATCACTTAGCACCTGGGCCATGCAGACATCAATAATTGTTTTTGCTAGAAGGCCTTATAGAAGGCTCTGTTGCTCTTGTGATTTAAAATGCATTTCTTCTCCTTTCTTAGATTGATGACTTTTCTAAGTTCTAACCCAGGCTTGCAAATACCCACTAGCCCAGGGCATGTATATTGCCATGAAAGAAAGAAAAGTAATTCATTCGTTTTATGTTTTTCTTAGGGCATTCACCATAAGGAAAAAAAATATTGTGGGTTCAGCTAAGTTTAACAACCTTTTATTGAGAATCTACTAAGTTTGGATCTCTCTTGTGGGTATTAAGAAGGCTACAAAGTTAGAAAGCTGCCAGCCCTGCCCTTCTGGAGGTCACAGTATACCCAGTGGGGCAGAGCTTACACTAATACCTTCAGAATAAATGTTATGTAATATTTTCATACCTGTGCTTTTCAAATTTGCTGGAGGAGAGAGAATGTGTCCGATGCAGACCATCTAGGAAGACGTGCCAGCAGAGGTAAATAGCAGTGAGACAGTTAATAGAAGAAGGGACAGCAACAGGAAGTCATATGCGACCAATATTAAGTATTTCACATTTTCACGTATACAATATAGATTCATTCAATGTTTCAGGAAGTGAGTGGAATGTCCATATTGGTCTGCAGAGTAAATTGACTGCCTGGGTTAGAAGTACTAAGAAAACAAGACTACCAGTTTGCATGTTGAATATTGAGTAGCATGCTGTCTTAGTTCATCTGGATTATAATTGCAAAGTAACATAAACTGGGCAGCTTATAAACATTGGAAATTTATTTCTATTTTGAAAGCACTAAAATTCAACATTCAGGTGTCTCTACATTCAGCGTGGGCCTGTTTCCTAGTTCATAGACACCTACTGGCTTCACTGTTACTGGGTAGGTCGGACTAGTTAGCACTGTGCCGCCTTTTCCAGAGAAACACAGACGTCAGCCCCTTGATCCCTGTCCTTGTCGTCTAGTTGGTTCTTCAGAGGGCCACGTCTGGTAGCAGCAGCTTCGGAGTGAGGATCAGACAATGGAGTGAGGAGGGAGACACAAAGGTTCACACTATAGCGCTCACTGTGTGCCACCCACCGTGGAAATCACTGACTGGAATGAATCATCACTACCAACTCAATAACCCAATGGGAACAGTCCGCTGTTGTGTTGACCACTGGCCAGAAAAAGCTGGATAACTCTTCCGTCATGCAGGAGCAGAAAGGAAGTAGCAGAGTCAGGATGTGTGTCTCCGTTATCTAGGAGCTTCTTCAGCCTCTGAAACCGCAAGGAAAAGATGTTTGGAGCATCTGTTTCATCAACGGCAGACATCTCTAAGTTGCTTATTATCAATTAATACTCATGAAGACAATTTAAAACATATATCCTATATTTTAATAAGAATTAAGATAAAATGTGACTGAAGGAAATACAGTTTTGGTAGAAGCTGATGGCCCACACCTTTAACGTCAGCACTCGGGAGGCAGAGTCACACAAATCTGGGAGCTTGAGGTCAGACATGGTTACAGGGCAAGACTCTGTCTCAAAAAATAAAATGCTGGCAATGGACCTTGCCTTCAGAATTTTACCAGCTGGATATCCGATGTGTGCAGCTACAGAAAAAATCTCTGTGGAATGTTGCATTTGTTTCTCAGGGTTTATATTAGCTTCCCATGCATTCCGGAACAGCACCACACGAAAGGTCCTTAAAAAGAGAACTGTGTTCTACCGCAGCTCCGGGGGCTGCAGATCAGAGCAAGCTGGCAAGGGGCACCTGGGACATGGATCTCCCACGTCTTTCTCTGGTGTCATTTGAGATTCCCCCCGTGTGTGCCTTCGTGCTCCCTCTTTTCTCCTTTGAAGGGCACCAGTCATCTTAGGTAAGAGGATTCCAGCTCACCAAGATGACCTCATCTCAGCTCATCACACCTGCAAATGCCACAGTTTCAAGTGCAGTCATTCTGTAGTCTGGAGGCGATGACTTCAACACCTCTCTGGAGAGGGCACGCCACCAGAACAGACCTGAAAAACCAAGCCTTAGGAAACAGGCTTTTTACTTTATTTTACAACGAGTACAGTTTTTCAGTATTAGAGTAAAGGGCACTAGTGGCATAAAGGGGACTGAGAGGTGGCTCAGTGCTATCGCAGTGGACTCGGGTTCTGTCCCTAGCACCCACACTGGGTGGCTCAGAACCACCTACAACTCCAGCTGAGAGGGAATGCAGCAGCCCTGGTC